ATTATATATATGGGATATATATAATTGTGAATATAATTATATATTATATATAGCACCCCATATTTTGCCATCGGTCGCGAATGTGTCTACTGTGTGGATACCTAGCTCGGTTTGACACGTACCGCGCTGGCGACAGGAATACTTACTTGATCTTTGGCGAGAGAATGGAGGTGTCGTGTGTGAGGAGAGAAACAAAGGAGAGGGAGAAAGAGAGAGAGAGAGGAGAGAGAGAGAGAGAGAGAGAGAAAGTAAAGCCAAAGAGAGGACAGAGAGAGAGAGAGCGAGCTTGAAGGAGAGAGAAAGAGCAAAAGAGAGAGAGAGAGAGAGGCGAGCGAGAAAGAGTAAAAAAGGCTAAGCGAGAGACCGATCGCAAGAGAGAGGGTGGCACGAAAAGAGAAGGAAAGAGAGAGGAGGCAGAGGAGAGAAAAAAACAGAGAGCGAGAGCGAAGAAGAAAAAGAGAAGAGAGCGCGAGAGAGCGCGGCACGAAAGAGGAGGGAGAAAGAGAGAAGAGATGAGAGAAAGAGAGAAGAGAGGGAGAGAGAGAGAGAGAGAGAGAGCAGCGCGCGCGGAGAGAGAGAGAGGGAGAGAGAGCGGAGAGTAGAGAGAGAGAGAGAGAGAGAGAGAGAGAGAGAGAGAGAGAGACAGGGAGAAGCGAGCAGTACGAGGTTCATCGGTCGATGCTCGTGTGTATATATACACACATATATATATATATATATATATATATACGGGGGAGACCCCAAGTACGGCTTCCCCGCGATAAACACCGTGACTCTATCGCTCGCTTGCATGGCTTGTTAGCATCTTGTATCTACGTCTCCCACGCGCGCTGAGCAATGGCGGCATCAAGAATGCAGCTTCCCCATTCCCCCGTCCACCCGCCCTCTTCCCCCGCTCCGCCCCGCCCTCGCGGGATACCTAATGTGATTTTATTCCAGTTCGAGAGTTGACTAACAGTCGTTAAGCGGAAAACGTCGCTGAGTTGAGTAGTTGTTGTCGTCGGCCGACGGGCGGGTCTCGCCGACGCTGCCGTCGCTGCCGACGCTACTGCTTTGAACATTATCTTGGGTTTCGGATGATTTGAAAAGCTAGTTAACCGACGTCGTGTATACGGAGCTGTAGAGGGCGCGCGTGTGGGCGGGCGACGAGGGGTGGAAAGCAGGGGGAGGGGAGAAAGAAAGAGAATTAGAAATAGAGGCAGAGAGAGAGAGAGAGAGAGAGAGAGAGAGAGAGAGAGAGAGAGAGATTAAAAGAGAGCGCATACTGGAGCGGCGAAAAAGAAAGAGAATTAGAAAGAGAGGCAGCGGGAGAAAGAGAGAGAGAGAAAGAGAGAGAAAGCGAGAGCGCGCACTAGAAAGAGACCGCACACGATAGAGAGAGTGAGAAGAAAGAGAATTAAAAAAGAGGCAGAGGGAGCTAGAAAGAGATAGCGAGGGAGAGGGAAACTCGAAGAAACAGAAGCAGCTGCTGCAGCTGCTAGACATGGTTTTTCTCGAGGATATAGAGAGGTGAATTTGTTAATAAATATCATCTAGGTAGAAAGAGTGGTACATGTCTCTCACAAATGGCGTCTTATAGGTGACAAGGGCACGTTAATTCGGGGGGGGGGGGGACACGGGTTTTTGCCAGTGACATACTTGACACTAGCGGAAACTTTGGACACGCGTTTCCTACAACAAGGTGAATTAATACGACTGACTTCGACGAAGTTTTTGTAGGATATATATTTTTAATGATACGTGAGATTGAGTGAGTAGATGAGAGTAACATCTGTATTTCGGCGGTCGAGATAAGTATTGTATGACTTTGCCATGTTTCCGTGGAAAATACGAGTGACTGATTAACAACGTTTTGTCCGTGGCCGTGTTTTCATGCAACCTTGACTGTTGCCGTCCATCAACTTGAGTAAAAAAAACAATTGATTTTAAATCCCAGAAGAGTTGACATTTTACATCAGGTTTTTCTCGGCTATGCGAATATTTCCAATGTTGTGGTGTGTGCGTGTGTGTGTGTGCGTGTGTGCGTGTGTGAGCTCTGCCCCTGCACCCTGACAGGGGCCCTAGAGCGGGCCCCTGGACTCCACCCATTAAGGGCTTTGCGCCAAGGCGCTCGCAGTGTGCGCTACTCGCGCACACTCTTCATATACATTGTCATGGAAGTAACAGCGAAATCATCCCCCCCACAACTGAGGACCTGTCTACGCCACTGGTTTTTACACGCGTTCGGCGACCACTTGGGTCATGTTGTGCTCCGCGAAGACAATGCGTTTTCAGAGCTTTTCTGATTTTCACAATTGTGATAAGAGATTGTGAACCTATATAATATATATACCTATATTATATATATATATATATATATATATAATGTTGTAAGCTATACTCTGATTTTGTGCTGCGATGACAGGTGTTGTCTATGCGTTTAACGTGAAGAGCCCAGACAGCATATACGCACTTGCTAGGCAGAAGAACGTTTTGATTAAGAACTACAACGTCATCTACAAACTTATCGATGATCTGCGCGAGCAGCTGAACAGCCGATTACCATTGACAGACGAGGAAGAAATATTAGGTTTGTGGTTGCTATGGCGACTAGGATAGAATCTTAATGTATCTTCGTCAACAAATATATTCTTCTGTTCTAAGATAAATTCTTGTAGCTTTAATTGCAAGTGATGCTAGAGTGACAGCCAAACTGACAGTGAAGAAATGAACGAATCAGAATTATTTAATTTTACCACTGCCGCTACTGGTCTACTACCACCGCCGCTTCTGCTACTACTGTACTACCACTATCACTAATGCCACCAATACTTCCCGTAGTACTAGCTCTACTACTGCCACAAGCACCACCATCACCACCACTACCTTACTGATTGCAGGAGAGGCTCACGTACTACAGGAATTTCTCATCAAGGATGGTAGAAAGCAGGTCCCAGTGGCCGGCTGCCGTTGCACAAAGGGCAACCTCCTCAAGAAGCATCTGTTCCGTGTGATGAGAGACGAGGAGGTGCTTCATGAAGGTGGGTGACAGGCAAATTTAAGCATGTGTTCGATTTCATCGATTCGAGACATGCTGCCATGCACTTGCGAGTTGTGGCTGGGTTTAGACCGATAGCTGGTGCCTGCTTTATGATAAGTGTCATTGGTTGTGGCTGATTCGAGTCCACTATCAGTCGATGATCATCACTAAGTGGAAATAGGTCTCACCAGTCAAAGCTGATGTGAGACATGCTTCGTACAAAACAACTGGTTTGAGACATTAGTTGGCTGACCCTCTCTGCCTGAAGTGATTGACAGATAGTTCTAGCCAATCAGCATTGTGGTGGGGGAATTTTAAAGACGCTGTTTAATAACAAAGTTCCCGAATGTCGACAATTTGGCCTGCAAGCTTAAAAACACTTGTAACTGTGTTGGTCTAGTTTTACCAACCTAGCAAGAGCAAAGAAGGGGTTGTTATCTTATTCAAGCAGATAGATCAATTCCAAGTATCTCCTGCATAAGAAACAACAATAATCTGGCTGGTAAATAGCTTCATACAGTTGCTAACCAGTCAGCACACGAAATATAGTTAATATAATTCATTCTGTATGTCCATTGTTCTATTTAGGTCGAACGAAATTCGCATTATCCTTACATATTCTTGCATTTATTTTCAGGTACAATAGCATCCTTAAAACATTTTAAAAACGAGGTGGACAGCATAAAGAACGAGATGGAATGCGGAATCATGTTTGATACATCGGCCGTGCATTTTCAATCTGGCGACACGATCCTATGCTATGTTGTGCATAAAGTACCAGACACTATAGACTGGATAACTGGTTTCTAGTATAACAATGAAGCAGCGTTGCCAGGCTAACCAGATATACACAGATCGGCCATTTTCCATTCGGGGCTGCACAGGCAATCGGCCTTATCATGCGTATACACGTCACGTGCTTTGGCTTCAGGTGCATCAATCCGCGACAGCTTCAAGCACATAAATGTGTTAGCTTCAAGCTCATCAGTGTGCGAGGTTCGCGAATCGAGTGGCCGTCGTCTTTTGATAGTTGTTGAGTATTTATACTGTGTTAGTAATTATTGCTCGACTATTTAATTGTCCTGCATTAAGTTTTCGAATAACAAATATCACATGTTAATTAATTATAGGCATTTACTTATTTATTTGGAAGTTCACGAATCAATCATATTTACACAATACATCATCATTTACAAAATTACAAAAAAATAACTGGACCAGTAGGCAGGCGTGTCTTACATGGTACTGCCTAGAAATATTCACATTATTAATGTGTGTTACAAACAGCTAATTTTTTATCTCTACAAACCTAAACAAGAAAACGTCTACTTTTTAAAGACAACAGTTCACAAGACACAGGGTTCCACTATAAGTAGGCGTAGAACCTGACTATAATAAACATAGAAGCACAGGGACATTCATCAATTAATCAGTTGTAATTGCTGGGACACTGATTTTTCAATAATAAGATACATTCAGGCAGAACATACAATTTTAACATATAGGCCACATACTTGAACATTAAATAGCACAGCATTGTAAGCATGGATTTGCATAAAAATTGCTACCGTCCTTTTAAATCACATCAAAATTGGAAGAAATTGCATCACAACAACTGACTGCATGCAATTCACTGCATGCTATAAACAAAAGCAAATCCGATTTTGCTTGACAGTTAATGTCCCATTTAAAAAAGCTGTAATTTACGCTGAGAGGGTCTATGTACCCCAGGGTACTGCCGGAACGTACCCTAGTACTATCTAATATGCCGGACCGTACCTCGTCTACTCCACTAACGAGTCTAGGGAGTCGCCTACGCCTACTCCCTAACCCTAACCCTAACCATATCAGATAGTTACCAGGGTACGTTCCGGCAGTACCCTGGGGGACAGACCCTATGAGCGTAATTTACTCCTTACAGAAGCATTTACATGCAGCAGTTAATTAATCTTGTGACGATAGATACCAACAGCTTGACTGACCAAAAACTGAAGTGTGAACGCATTCAGCTTGGGTTTACACTGGAAAACACGCACCGGGTATATCCATACAAGTTGGCAGCCGTTAATGAATATTCATGTTATTCACTTATCGTCGGTGGGTGTGCCCCTTCCGGCAAGCTTTCCTTCATGCAAAAACCCCTTCATCAATTCATTCAAATAATTGTACGATTTTCTACGGTTATTACCTGAGTGGGGTACACAATTCGATGGGCATCATAACATGCACATTAAAAACGCAATTTTATGGCAAATGTAAACCAAAGGTACGTCCATGTATCATGTCCGTTACATTTTGCACATGACGTGAGCTCTATATCCTAGACAATTAGATATACATGCTAGGCTCTGCCACACGCAGAAGATTTACCATTGAAATCATGCAAGGATTTCACTGTGCAAACGTTGGTAATATTATAACAGTAATAACGTTGCAACAGTGTCTCTGGCTGCAATCCAAGCAGACTTAAAGTGATACATTACTCTAGGCTAATTGGATATTTTCAGTTAAAATAGGTTAAAATTACGCTACATAAAAAGTTTATGGTTCAATATTCAATAGAAATATTTTTTTTTACGTTTCAAAACTGACGGCTATACCGTTGCTTACAGCGATGGCGGCGCCACTGGAAGCGCATCCACTGAACAAGTTGCGCAAAGAAGCGTTTCGGCTGCAGGCTACAGACCGAGGGTGTTTCTTATTTGTTAATTTAAGAGCAGAAGGATTGCGATAACTTAAAAACGACACTTAGTTTCAGTTATAATATGGACGAATTTGTCCTGAAATAAATATTGTTTGGTTAAATAGCATTTAGGTATAAATATAATTGCACTTTTGTAATTAGCCCCCGGTCTGTAACGTGCAAAATAAATTGGCTAATGCGCAACTTTTTCAGGGTGGCAGCACAATCACGGGTGTCATGTCAGCGCCCAAAAAATTAAGATTTCGAAATTCAATGTTGTTTTATGACAAACGTGAATGCATAATTATCGAAATTTTTAGGTATATGCTATTATTTATGCATTTACTCTCATAACATACTCTAAAATTCTAGGGGAAAGTATCCCTTTAAACTGATGATCACTGCTCACATGGACGACTCTCGCAGCAATTGTTGCCTGATCAAGTCAATCTCGCGTGAATGCTGGATGAATAAACAGCGCCTGCATTCACGAATCTTACGTGACTCGTGCTTGCATTTGAGAATCTTGCATTGTTAAATATCTTACACATAACATTGATCACTATAATTACACAGTTGACACACTGCTGATGCTTGCATGAAGGTTTAAAACGTATATGCACCAACTCGACTTTAAAAGTAGTTTTCACCATTAAAGACCCGAATTCAACACATTAAGAAAGATTTTGGGCCAGATTACAAAGTCACTTCTTCCAATAGCACTGTCTAACATAACAAGCCACGCTTACAAAACAATGACATTACTGGATTAAGCAAACATCAGGGGCCCTTGTCAGAAACACGAACTACTAGCAGCTACCGTAAGTCTGGGATGTTGTAACTTCCACAGAACACTTCACGTGCAAAAGCTATAACAGCTTGGATTCATGACAGTCGTCATAACACACGTCAGTTACAACGTTTCTGACAATCAGCTCCCTTAATTCCTGGTAACCAATGCATTGATTAAAGGGACAAGTTCTGGAATTTAGATGCTCACGCATGGCCCAGAACACCACCTACCGATGATTAACACGGCTTGAGTGGGCTGTTTTAACAGTCGGCTTGCAAGACATCTTGCTATAGTTAGCAATAATTTGCCCGCACAAACACGGATCAACCGTGCGGTCTAATTGGAACTTAGATGTACCAGCAGCAACTGAAATGCCAGACCCTGTTCCTATAACATACCACTGGTTCTGACATGCAGGCAGTGGCTTCAAAATATTTAGCACCACGCACAGAACATGAGCAGATGCCATCTGATGCCATCTGATGCCATCTGATGCCATCTGATGCCATCTGATGCCATCTGATGCCATCTGATGCTACTACAGCCCATGAACTGATGACACACGCTACAGCAATACAACGAATCTCTAAATATTGCATAGCATCAAGCACATTTACACGACCATCTCGTAAGTGCGGATATCGGCTTGTTTTTCACACGTAACAAACATCCTATCAAGCAAGTATTCTATCAGCAGACAAGGGCCGGGCTACGGTAATCCTAGATACAACTACATACCATGACAAAATGAGTGACCTACTGAACACTGGCCCATATCGTAAGCTGAAGAAAGATCCCACAGACAGTATGTACCGCAAACTCACTAGCATGTTGCTAGCCCTGAAGAAGAAAAACGCAATAGATGAGTCGACGTATCAGAAATTGAGGCCAACGCAGAAGCAACCACCCAGGATATACGGATTACCAAAGATCCATAAACCCACAACACCACTACGCCACATAGTGTCATGCGTAGGCTCGTTTGCATACCATCTCTCCAAGCACCTAGCAGAGATTTTTCCACCACTCACGGGTGCCAGTGAGCATACAGTGCCTAACTCCAGTGGGTTTGCAGAGTACATAGCAGAGCAAACTATCTGTGAGAGTGAAACTATGATATCGTTCGACGTAGTATCTCTTTTCACTAACGTACCAATAGAGGGCGCATGCCAGACGGCCCTACATCGCATGCAGGCGGACAACAGCCTAACAGCCCGCACCGCTCTCTCTCCTGAGCAAGTCACCAAGCTCCTCGAGTTCGTCCTACGGTCTACATACTTCCTCTATAACGGCTCGTACTACGAGCAGACGGAGGGGGCAGCCATGGGCAGCCCGGTTTCGGCCATCGTGGCCAACTTGTACATGGAGAGTTTTGAACAGGAAGCTCTACTCACCTGTCCCACTCTTGCAAACCGCGGGTATGGAAGAGATACGTTGATGACACGTTTATCATAGTCCCTAATGCAGAAGCGGAGAACCTGCTCAAACACATGAACAGCCGCCAACAATCCATCCAGTTCACAGCGGAGGCAGAATGTGAAGGGAAGATAGCTTTCCTGGACACACTAGTGCACAGACATGAAAACGGCAGGCTCTCCACCTCAGCCTACAGGAAGCCCAAGCACACAGACCAATACATACCGTTTGATTCACATCACCCCATTTCTGTGAAGAGAGGCCTAGTGAAATGTCTTTTTGACAGAGCGGAACGCATAGTCACCAGCCCACAACATACAAACAATGAGCGGGCACACGTCCGGAATGCCCTAGGTAAGAACGGGTACCCACGCCGTTTCATCCATACCTCAACCAAGAAAACTTCACAACCCAAGGAACCGAAGGATTATAAGACGTTCACGGTCTTACCCTTCATAGACGGGATCTCCCAGCAGCTCAAACGCCGCCTAGAGAACCATGGTGTTCGGACCGTTTTCCGCTCAGACTCTACACTGCGCAAACAGCTAGTACGCCCAACGGATCCAGTTCCTGAACACAGACGTGACGGCATGGTGTATAACATCCCTTGCCAAGGGTGTGACGGATCCTATATCGGTGAAACAGTCCGACCTATAGCGGAAAGGATTATGGAACACAAGAGGGATGTCAGGCTGCTTCGAACCGACAGCTCAGCAGTGGCCGAACACGCATGGGAGAACCAGCACCAACCTGACTGGGAAGGGATACAGTGCCTCGCCCAAGAGCGACACTGGTACACGCAGAGGGTGAAAGAAGCCATTAACATTCGTCTCCGCCCCCAACAACTTTAACAGAGACAACGGGTTAGATATCTCCAATTTCTGGATGACAACGATACGCCGCCATGACTCTCACCTTGCGGCAGCACACGCCGTCCGACCCACAACAGTGCAGGTTACAGCCAACGCCAGCCAGCCGATTACGATGCGGGAACCTGCAGGCGCCAGCCGGCCGGTCACTGCGCAGGAAACAGCAAGCGCCAGACAGCCAATCACAGCACGGCCAGTCCAGCAGTCGTACCGCTCAAGGGTACCGCTGAATCCAACCGAGGGGTATATATACCCTCACTCGCAACGTCGCCGCATCACCTAACGAAGTGTTGCAGTAGCACACGAAACGTCATGTTCTCCAACTTTCTTGTTGACCGCCCATTGCGAGACAAACGGGAATATAGCAAGCAAGTATTCTTTGTTTCAATTATCACCCCCATATCATTCATGTTAATACAGAGCTTTTTAAAAGATGTCACTCTTAATCCGCTGTGATTCCCCAAGCAAGAACCTTTCCTGTTGTTTTATTAAAAGATGCATATAACGTTCTTTTTACCAATATACAAGGACAACTCTCCAGTGAAATTTCATTGTTGGGAAGTTTGAACCCTTTTAAAGATGAAAGAATTCACTACAAGTTAAACTTTGAATATCAGTAAAAAGAAAGTTTAAAGCACCTCTTTCAGTAAAGTACAGCCGACAGAAAAAGGTTCTCACTTTATGAGCCATGCAATGTCGACATTAACGAGAGAGATAAAGGGTTAAATAGTCCATGGAATAACATATTTACATTGATGCTGCATTTTACACATTAAAGCAATACAGACTGGATTATAAAAGCTCTGATCGTTGCCATCTCAAGATATGACAAACCAGTAATTAAAGGCATAAGCAGTAATAGTAGCAGTATATAGCAGTAAATCATAACAGTCATCAACACTCATAATGGTCAAGTGGATTTTCAAGTTCTTTCCAAAAAGGTCATCATAGTGATGGTTTCTCTCCCCGGACCTTTTCTGGATCAAATTCAAGCAAGATTGGATATATATATATATATATATATATATATATATGGTTACATTACAAACTGAATAAAGACACCACAAGTCCTTGAATTCTCGAGGTAACACTAATAATAAATGAAAGCTAGGTCAGGCTTTTAAGAGTCAAATCACCGCCGACTGCTTCCTATTCACACACGAGTCTATTTTATGGGTTTTCAGAAAATACTAATAAAAATAGTAGTGACAGCAGCACATCAAAACAGCTTTCTAGATGGGTCTTGAATTATATCTGTCCAGTATATATCAAGCCTGCCCCATGGTGCAGGTCCAATGCAGGTCAACCTGTGAGCAGAACCTCCACAATGGAAATGGGGTTGATCACTTAAAAGTTATCCCAATTAGAGTAAAATCGATATATAAGGGTCACCCAAAGGGAGGGAACCCCATAAGTCTTTTATAGACGGGTGTACATTGAGGTTGTTTGTCAACAAGCATCGATGCACATATCAGTTATCATCGCCAAATTAGCTCATGGATTTACATATGGGTAGATGACATTTGATTTGGTGTACTAGTCATACCAGTAACATATCTAATGCAACACAGGTATCACAATAAAATAAAGGAATTCTTCAAGTTGCTAAATAAAGACGCATCACTTTCTCACAACCATGTAGCTATTAGAAAATAAATTGCATAACATGATAAATACTTTAAACAAAATGTCACTACATTTAAGCAGTACTATAACATCCGTTAGAATCTACTGTTGATTTGGTTAAAGCTTGCGATTCAGGGGGCCGTTGTCAGAACGGTAATTGGTTGCATTGTTTGTCTTAGTCGTAACTTCCGTGTCCAGGACCAATATCAACTACGTGATAACATCAATGACAATGATGAATCCTACTATATTTCATTGTAAGTCTACAATTTAGCCTAGTGTAATGTACATATTGCAAGGAATCTAATTGAACAAAATTACAATTCCAATTCTTTTGTGACTATATTTAATATTTTGAGGTAAAGCCTTATTTTTACACACAAAATTTCTGTAAACACACAGTCCCGATTCATCGTGCTTTAAAAAACATCAACCATTCACAAGTTGAAATTTTTCTCTTGCCTTTTAGACTTTTATAATATTAACATCTGTGATTTACCATAATACATCGCACATAGAGAGGCAATCGCTTCTCACCCAATCAACAACCTTGTAAAAAAGGCTTATCTATATGAGAGAGCTAATCCCCCCCCCCAAAAAAAAATATTGTTGCTAAGATAGTCAAGCTAGGCCAATTACGCGTTCGTACGTGCCACATTCTCAACTTTGCGGCATTTGTTGCCCGTTTAGCACCGCTTTATACAATGTGATATCACAACAATTGGCTAGAGCTGCCTGTCTCTCATGCCTAGTAGATAGGTTGATTTCTGGTTATCATCGGATATGTTACTAACACTGATATACTCATAGCGTAATAATAGTCCTGTAGGATACATCACAGTCATTATCTCAGTCGCAACCAAAGATCGTATAGCCTCCGGCACTATACGATCTTTTGTCGCAACTCTACAATTGACAACGGCCACCAGAGTCATGCACAACTGCTCCATACATTTTCCGACAGAGATATTTCCGGCAACTTTTGCTTGCCACTTTCGCATTCGATCCGAGTTAATTTCTGGCATATACTCGCCTAGACAACATTCTGCAAATAAGGCACCCCGTGATGCTCCAGTCTTTGAAGCTTACGTTAGTAGTACTGGAGAATTTTTAAGTAGCGATTTGATTAGAGAAAAGGTGGGCGAGTTGTGTGCTTGGGCAGGTTGGTTATGGGGTGGGTCGATGTCAAGGTAGGTGGGTAGATGCGTTAGTATATGGGTAGGTAGATGGGTACGTTGGCAAGTTGGCAGGTAGGTAGGTGCCGATGTAGGGAAGCATGTAGATAGGTGGATAGGTCAGTAGGTAGATAGGTCGGTCAGTCAGTCAGTCGGTACATAGATAGGTGGGCAAGTCACTAGCATCTAAGATAGGTAGGTCGGTTGGTCGGTAGGTAGACAAATGGGTGAGAGGGTAGGAAGATAGGCGGGTAAGTCGGTAGCTGAAAAACAATTGTTAGTGCTGCCACATGTATGGTACCAAGCAATCACATACGCAGAGTTGTACCGGTTAATTTTTCTCCGAGTCAAAAACACGATTTCGGCCCGCACATTTTTCGCCGGCGTGTTCTCACAACAGGCAAGGTATCGGTTGCATTCTGCCTGCCAACTGCCTCGGGTTACGCGCAGCACGTAAAGCAATGGAGGCAACCAGAGACTTTCTCAGACCATCTCTGTTCGGTTTTTTCACAGGACAGAAGGCACTACCTTCCCGCTGGGGTTTCACTGCTGCTTTGCTGCCAGTCGCCAAACTCACAGTCACTCCTTCTGTGATCTCTCCATGATCTCATCTAGTGTAAAAGCAGCAAGATTACACTCGTAAATTATCATATATGGACAAACGCTTGCTGGCAGTGCCCAAAATTTTTGCTGGCACCAACTTTGTGACAACCAATTCGCAAGCTCGTTATATCAATTTACCAATCAACCATCATTAAACCAATAAATATAATAATAATAATAATAATAATGTAGGGGTGTATGATGTGTCAGAGCAGCGTTGCACCGGCTACAAATTAGATCGATAGCTATATATAGATATACACGCCGTGCATGGTGTCAATGCAGAGTCAAACAACAATAGTTATAGAGAGTAGAAACAATGAGTTCTCAGTAACTGAATGGATGCAACATGGGGGGACTGCTACGCTGTGGATGGGTTCTCGTAGCGGAACAGGAGTCTCTACGAAGACGAAGGCAACACGCTGCTTTTGCTTCAGACTGTATGTTTGACGACAGCCTAGAATCGCACCGCGGTTAGGAAAAATTCGCTGCAATTATCATGATTGCGTACATCACTTATCCATGCTTCCGTAACCCTGATCACTACCCCTCCCTGCAGGCAACGCTGGTTCTCTATCAGCCATAACTGTACCTCTCTCTCTTCCTCTCCCCTCCCCCGCTGCCCCTCCCCGCAGGCAACGCTGGTTCTCTATCAACCATATGACTGTACCTCCCTCTCTCCCTTTCCCCCACCCCGCTGCCCCTCCCCGCAGTCAACGCTCACAGGCACTTGGGACGTCTCAATAAACAAAATTAATGGTAAATAAACACGAAATGTACCAAAGTCTTAATGTTTCTCTACTCTATTTCGCTTTCTCTATAGAGCCCTTCTCTCTTATTCATGTTGTTTGTGCACGCAGCACAGGGCGGGCGTGCGGTGTACTTGTGTGTTGCAGATGAGCATTTGACCGGCATTTACAGGTGATTATAGGCGAAATAGAGTAGAGAAACATTAAGACTTTGGTACATTTCGTGTTTATTTACCATTAATTTTTTTTATTGAGACGTTCCAAGTGCCTGTGGCAACGTGGTTCTCGATCAGCCATATGACTGTACCTCCCTCTCTTCCTTCATACCTCCTCCCCCGCCTTCCTCGCTCTCTCCATATCTTCTTTACTTCCTCTTCTTACATACTGGTCTATATCAGTCATCACTGTCTCTGCTTCCGTCTCTTACCTCTCCTCCCTCCATTCATCTTTCGCTCACGCGCCCCTCCCCTCTTCTCATTTTCAAAACAACATTGTTTCATTCAGTAACCATGCAGTGTTCTTGCCCTTATTCCTCACCTCGCTCCCTCCCTCCAGCAAAAACTTGCCTCTACCAGCCGCTAACTGATCTCCATATGGGCCAAGCTGGCTTCCATACGTCACTATACTTCCCGTTCCCCTAGCTCTTATAAGCTAACACAGAGCTTCATCAGTCACCACTTTCTATAGCTCTAGAACTATGGCCCTTCGCTCTGCCACGGAAGAGCTATAGTTCTAGAGCTACACTTTCCACTGCTCCCTCAGCCTCATGGTTCCCCCACCCTCTGGTGGCTCCAGTCCTTCACCCTCCCCCCGCTCTCCTCGTCATAAGCCAAACTGTATGCCTTCATCAGTCACCACTTTCCACTGCTCCCTCAGCCTCATGGCTCCCCCACCCTCTCGTGGCTCCGGTCCTTCCTCCCCCCGCTCTCCTCGTCATAGGCCAAACTGTATGCCAACGGCGGTCATTACTGTCTCGTTAGCAAAAACCACCAGCCTTCATTACAGCTGCACCACTAACGCAGCAACACAACGCCCCCTCCCACACACATATTACTATGTCTACTAGTGTCTATGTTGACTATTGTCTATGTCCTATCTATGTCTATGTCTATGTCTTGTCTATGTTATCTATATGTTTAATTAGCGTAGTTATACGGAGGGTTTGCTATTTGTCTTGTCTTGTTGTCCCCGTCGTCGTCGTCGTCGTCGTTCGTCGTCGTCGTCGTCGTTATTATTATTATTATTTTATATATTGCTTAATAGTTTCAAGGTTAACGGTTATTCGTAACATTTCTTCAGTTATAGTGTATGATAGTGAGGAGTGTAGTTAGTAGTAGTAGTGTAGGTAGCACAGTAGCAGTAGAGTAGTTAGCGTAGTAGTGCAGCAGCCAGCAGCGCCAGCAGTATCGTGCAGTAGCAGTAGCAGTAGTGTAGTGTAGCATGGTAGTGTAGTAAGTAGCAGCAGCTGAGCAGCAGCAGCAGCGGTAGGAGCGTAGCGCGGTAGTGTGTAGTAGTTAGTGCTAGTAGTAGTAGTGTAGTAGTAGTAGTAGTAGTAGCAGTGTAGTGTAGTGTAGCAGCGCAGCAGCGAGCAGCAGCAGCCGTAGTAGCCAGTAGCAGCAGGTAGCGCAGTAGTATAGTAGTTGTAGTAGTAGTAGTAGTAGTAGTGTGTAGTAGTTAGTGTGTAGTAGTATGTAGCAGTAGCGTAGCAGTGTAGAAGCCCGAGGCAGCGCAGCAGCCGCAGCATGCAGCAGCAGCATGTAGCGTAGCAGTAGTAGTGTAGCACAGCAGTAGCGCAATGTGTAGTAGTAGTGTCGTAGCGTTAGTAGTAGTAGTAGTAGTATGCAGACAGCAGCAGCAGGCGAGAGCGTAGGCGCCCCAGCGAGCAGCAGGCCAGCCAAGCAGAGCGCAGGCAGCAAAAAAAACAATAAAAAAAAAAAACAAAAAAAGAAATAGCAGTAGTAGCGCAGCCAGCAGAGGCCAAGCGCGCCGCAGAGCGCAGCAGCAGCCCGCAGCAGTGCAGCGCTGTTAGTAGTAGCGTAGCAGTAGCGAGTAGCGTAGCAGTTAGCGAGTAGAGTGTAGTAGTTAGTAGTAGTAGTACTAGTAGTACTAGTAGTAGTAGCACAAACACAAATATCTGCAGAGAATATAAACCGCTACTGTTCACGTAGTATGCATGCTCTTATGTTAAATTCTGTCGAGCACACGGGCGGTGAGCTGATCGCAATCTCCACCGCGCAGCGCCCGCGTCGTCAATGCATCACAGACTTACTCCGATATTTCTTCATTGCTTGCCGGCGCTCTGTTTCATCAAAGTACCACACCGTCACTGCGTACCTGCAGAGACAAGGGCTAACTGTAAGGTGTCATCTTGGAGTGCGCTCAACCGTGCAAGTACATGCGGGTTCATTTTTGCTACATAATGGTAGGGTAGGCTACTAGTGGCGGGTAGACACATGCGGGTTATTTAGATGATCCATTTTATATTAAAAGCAATCATTCTTATTATTGTTTAAAGCAGTCCATTGGGGAAAGAGACTCGAACAGCAGTCAGAGAGCACCAAATAGCACAACCCTGGGTGCGCAGTGACCTCAATTTCAGAATTTGGTCCCGCCTTTCAAAAAAAAAAAACAACAAAAAACCTGGTACATAATCACATAACTCTGCCTCATGTTTATGCTGCTCAATAACAAGCCAATCTCGTATTCTGACTGCACGTAGTTTAGGATTGACATGCGGAGGATAATAACTTCTCGACGACCCCCTCACCCCTGAACCGCCCAACCCCAATAGCGACAAAGTTCCTGTTATGGAAAATAGACCCCACTCCCCAAAAAAACGGATTCTCGGTTCACGATTAAAACAAATCGCTCGCTTGGTTAAGCAGGTGGATCAGCAACGTCGTAAAAGATTTTAGCTCGCTTGAATCGTCACGTTTTGAGTATTGCAGGTGTCGTCAGTGTCGTCCGTCCGTTGTGTCGGTTCGTCAAAATTGGTGTCGGTCAACGATAACTCAGGGACGTTTGACCCATGTTTGAATTGGTGTAGTTGTTACTTGCTATGCTCGACATATTAAAGTTTTTTGAGCGCAGTGTATGTACTTTCGGCCACGGCAATTTTGGCAAAAATGGAATTGCATAGTTCAGTCAGGTTAAGGATTTTGCTTTTTTGGTATGTGATGATAAGGGCTAGTGTTTTGATATTTAAAAAATTATGCAATTAGGGTAGCGTTTTGGCAATTATATGGCATATTATATACAACAACAGTCTGTGGTGTCAACTCGTTGGTTGTTTTACGATTTTTGACATTCTTTGGAATGAAATTTGGTATTTCCTCTCCACCTCTGCGATAAAACGTCTTATTTAGAAGTGAAAGATTTACAAAATGTCCGGAACGCCAGATAACTATGTATTTCAAGCGCCATCACTACAAGCGGGTATCGCATCTCGGTCATCAATTTGATTCTTTGGTTTATAATTTTTATTGGATTATACAGATGGCAATCGTTTTATAATGTACGTCGTGGTTGCCTCAATTAAACTGACTTACTTCTTCTCCCACTATTTTGTGTCAATG